CACATTCACGACAATACGACCCACCGGTGGATCGTATGCTGAACTTTTTGATTTTGCTAGTTCACATTGTTTCTAGGCAAAGAAAAAACTTTTGTATAAATTTTATTGTATTATACATCTCTTGGAACACTTCCCAGAAGATTAACGCTACAGAGCATAGGACTCATCATCGGACAGAAAGTATTACATAAACTCAATTTTGCGAAATATGCCGTGGTCCGATATGGAAGAAATCGAAATGACCTTGCTGTGAATGTTTTGAAAACAAGGCTTTTTCTTTAAAACAGCTTTGGAAATTATATGTTTGAATTGACTGACTATGTATTGCAGCTTGCCCAACGAATCGATCAAGCTAGAAGTGAATTTGATGTCAAATTTGCGGAAGCAGAGGTAAGTCCTTCTACTCTTAATAATTATCTAAGGTAGTTCTTGTAGTTCCAAATAGCAGTGAGAAGATCATATCGATGGCGATTTCCAAGACTTGATCAACGACTAGCTCTTGTCAACAGAGTATTTCGTTGGATTACGACGTTCCAGGCAGTTTTTATATCCTTTTCCAAAGTGGCAAAATTACAAAGTACTTTGTCTTTAGACTCAACTGGGACGAATGATCACCGCTTTCAATCTTCCCATTGCTGCTGGCTATAGTCTTTATTACAACATTGTAAGTGCTTTTCGATAATTTTAAGACTTCAAAGAATAAGTTTCATTGTAGAGAAGCGGATATCAACGTGAAGCCATGCGATATGACGGGGACTTCTCAAAAATACACAAAGCAATGGAAGCTTCGTTGGTCAGAGAAGCTGCAAAATATCTTTCCCCGCAAGAACTTAGGCTATTGGAGGTGAGAAGAGGTGAATTTGGGAATTTCGGGTATATCATCTTTTTTTAGCGTCGCTTATGGGAACTGGACCAAAGAGAGAGCAGAAATATTCAGCTCGCCTATCAACTTACTCGCTCCGAAGGGATCTCGAAATAAAAAAATTCTCTTAAGTTTTAACACCTCTTCTCCCAAAGTTAATCAATATTTGCCGTGCAATAAATCTGTTAAGTTCAATGCAGGAGCAACTTGTGTCAAACTATCATCTAGATGCAACTATTGTGATCGACTAAATTTCCATTTTCATTGTTTATATATCAAGAGCTTGAAACAGCAAATTTTATATTTTTCAGACATATATTAGATTCATTCAAAAGTTCTCTAGCTTTGATCTCAAAAAA